TTTTTTTTTTTTAGTGTTTCCTTAATTTATCACATATTCACTTCTTTTCTGGCTTCTCATTTGATTAAAATCATCATTATTGAGTCAGATGCTTTCAATATGAGCACTAATCACTTAGGGAAACACACTAATCAGAAATTAGCTGCTCATTTATAAAAAAGATGATGTTAACAAGTGAAACAAGTAAGACAGAAGGGAAGTCAGGCTACGGAGCAGAGCACCCAGGGCTGTTTGTCAGCACCCACCGGGCAGCACTCACTCACCTCGGGGCGAATCTCAGTCTTCTACAATGCCTCTGCATTTCTTCCCAACATCCACTCTTACCCTGCCCTCTGCCAGTTTAAAGCCATTCCCCCCTGTCCTGTCCCTCCATCCCTTGTCCCCAGTCCCTCTCCAGATCTCCTGGAGCCCCTTTAGGCCACACACACACATCACAGAATCACACACAGAATGAACCAGGCTGGAGAGACCTTCAAGATCATCAAGTCCAGCCCATGGCCCAACACCTCCTCTGGTTTCTCCTCAGATCCTATAAATCTTTCACCTTTTACTAAAGATTTCTRTAGAGGGGAACAAGTTTGAGTTTGTTGTTTTTGTTTTGTTTTTTTTTAAGGCCCTGGAAAGGGCTCTGAGCTCTCCCCAGAACCTTCTTTTCTCCAGGTTGAAGAACTTCAGCTCTGTCCTCAGCTTCACCTTCAGCCATCAGGTGTTTGTGCATCTACACCACGAGTAGGAAGAGTTGGTGGGAGCTCCTCSCCAGCCTCCACCACAACCCCTGTCCTTGCTCCTGGTTACAAAATCATCACAGTCAGAGCTTGTTTTGTACTGAAGTCACCTGACYACCACTTTATAGCCACATTTGTCACCTCTGGGGATATTCACAAATATCCTCACCTCTGCCCATCCCTGTGATGGAACCCATTCCCTGCAGGAACCTGACCCAGCTGACTCATGAGCAAGGCAGAAAGTAGCAGGCAGGGGCAGGGATTTGCTTGGGAAATGGGGAYATGGGGACACCCCTCCAGATGTCCTCCCGTGGTCCCAGTGATGCAGCCTGCCCAGGTGCCCACACCTGGCACAGGGAGTGCTCATCCACACACACCTGAGCTGTGCTCTGCATGGACACAGAGCATGGACACCGACTGCTCTGCAATGGTTTGGGTGAGCAGCAACACAAAAACCTGAATTCATCTGGGGAAACAGCGGGAGAAGGACTGGAATGGGGTAAGCAGCCAGCTGACACACACCCAGTGTCACCTTGTGTCTTGGCTTCATCCTCCACTCACAGACACTCCAGTCAAATCTTCCATCCAGAAACAACCTCAATTTATGAGGTGGATGCATGAGACCCACAGGTGRAACTCCTCCCCTGGTGAGACTTTCCTTTGGCTCTGTTCCCAGCTGCAATATCCCTACAGATGTGTCCCATAACAGCCATGTGCAGAATCCCATGACATATGGGAAAACGGGCACAGGACATGAGGGAAAGACAAGAAATCTCCCAGTGGATGGGGTGTCCCTCCCCAGGGAGGCCTCAGCACAGCTCTTACTGGAGAGCTCAACCTGTGTAACTTCCAGCTCATTTCATCATCTAACCTCTGTGCTAGAATTCCACGTGCTACCAGGAGCAAAACTCCACTGGAGAGGGGGAGAGGAGAAACCAGAGCACAAGTGATTCCTCAGGATTTCAGCTTCTCCATTTCCATGTCTCTGTA